CTGACCCTAAATCCTGCACTCTCTCTACTGTTTGTGGGCTCCCGGAGTTTGTGGTCTTGTTGGGAAGATAAGCGCATAAAAAAGAACTGAGATCTACTGTGATATGTGCAGTGACAGACGTGGGCAGAGGGTGTGGGGAAGCACCGGAAAGGGGCAACAAGTAAGACATTCCAGAGAAAGTGAGCTGGCTGTGTGTCCTAGCAGGTGTTTGTCTGGTGAAGAACGTGAGGAAGAGCACTTCAAGCAAAAAGACTAGCATGAGCAAAGGCCAGGAAGAGTGAATCAGGGTGGTGGAACCTCTGGAATGGGGAGGCTTGGGAGCTGATGTTGGACAAATCAGCAAGATTTAGGGCATGGAAAATCTTGTCTACCATGTTAAAGGGTTCGGCATTGGAGATGCTGTAGGATTTCTAGCACGGAGGGTCACGGGTAGATCTGTATTTTGGATACAACACTCTCGTGGCTGAATAGAGGATGGAATTGGTTGAGGGGAGACTGGAGACTCTCCTGTGTTAACTAAGACAGGGACAGCAGAAATAGAGAGAAAGGGGTAGTATTTGCAAGTTAGTAGTTAAATCCAACAGGGTTTAGTGCTTGACTGAGTATGGAAGGTGGGGGAAAGGGATGAGTCAGAGGCATTCCCCAGTTTATGGCTATACCCAAGGCCAGGGCAACAAGGTGGATTCCAAGGTAGGAAGCACATGTTAAGAGGTTGGGGTGGGAGCCATGATGAGCTAACTGGGGGCATGTTGAGTTTAAATTTCTCACGTAAGTGGAGACACTCAGTAGGCAGAAGAATATATGCTTAGCAGCTAGAAGACTGAGCTGGAGAAGAACATTTGGGAGTCCTTAGTGTACAATGGCTGGCCCAACCCTGTAGAATAGTTCAAACAGCCAAGAAGAATACAAGATAAGAAGATGGCAGGAGACAGAACTTGGGAGAATGCTGTGTGTAAGGGGTGAGCAGAGGAAAGAGTGGTAGCAAAAGATGAAGAATAACTCTAGAAGTAGGCTGAGAATCAGTAAAATCATGCAAGCCAAGAAAGGAAGGGCTGAGAACTGACCACCAGATGGAGAACAGACCATTGCATTTAGCAACAAATGGTCATGGGGAACCATCAATTTAGGTGGAATGTTAGGGACAAAGACCTGTGTAAGAGAACAATGAATCTGTTCCCTCTGCCCAAAAAAAGGCCTCTGCAGAGGCTGAGCCCCTTGAGTTGGTAGAGTGAGCTTCTGCCGCACTGGGGGCAGAAGACAGAGCTGGCTGCCTGCCATCCGCAGCCAGTCCCTCTGAGCAGAATAGCCAGTGGTCTCAGTGGAGGCAATGGAGGTAAAAAGCCATTCCCCCTGGTTTTTATTGTTTTCTTTAGGGCAGAAATCAAAGGCCAATGGATATATCCAGTTGTAACCTTTTGCTTCTTTTGGGACAGTGATGAACAGCTATCTCCCTCCTCAATCTGTTTATAAACAGACAGTTATTGAAAGAATGAGGCAACAAGTTTAATTTCTCAAACTGAAGGACTCCTGACAAGGAAACTTTAGACATAGCATACTTATCAAACAAAAAGAAACTTTCAACAAAGAACCTGTAAATACTGCATACTCCCCTATCTCATGACACATTTTCAGCCTGTAATTGTCTCCTCTTTTTAACCCAGAACGGTGGGGAAGCTCATTATCTGTTGGGCAGTGTCCGCAGAGTCTGGGCTCATTCAGAGAAACTTCCTGAGGCTCTCCACCAACACCTGTGATTTTCCTTGATACGTGGTGACAACCACCTGAATTACAGGTGTGGGTCTGGTGAGGAAGTAAACACAGGACTGGCATTGTAAAAATCTACCCATTAGGTAACAGTAAATATTATGTGAAGCAAGAGTAATAGGCTCAAATTTCAGTAGAATAAAGACTAAAAAAAGTTGTACTTTAGATTACTTAAGAGGACAGAGGACTATCTTTGATAAAATATCTTTCTTTTTCCAGAGGAAATAATAAAGATACCACTTTATTTTTAATCCTAAGCACTGAAAAAAAAGGGGGGTAGGGGGGACTAGGAAAATGTACCATTTAAAATCTGAGAACAGATTTTCAAGCAAGTTAGTGCAACCTCTCCTCATTCCCACCCCCAGTTCAAACTCTATCGGACTTAAGGTGAATGTGGCTGTCCAGATGTACCAAATGGAAAGGGTAACTGATGGTTCCTTTTCCATGGAAAATCTCTTAAGGAACCAATGCAAAAGGGAGAATGGTGTTCTCTTTTTCCACTTCTGGAAGTTATGGTCCTAGGATCTAGGCACCTGGAGTTAAATCCCAGTTCTGCTATTTTCTGGGCTTATGGACATAAACTCTCTGAGTCTCAATTTTCTTATCAACCGAAAGAGGAAAGGAATCTCTGCCTATACAGTTATTCTGAAGATTTAATGAGATGCTGTATTTAAAACTACAAACAGAGTCTACAATTAAGTGTTAAGTTCCTTCCTCATCTGGAATGAAGATTTGAAGTGGGAGGAGGCTCCTCGCTTTAATTTGAATGAACCCATCCAGGTCTTTCCTCTTGCCTCAGCTGACAGAACTGACCAGGCTGGATAGTACGGCCCAGGTAGTCCCGAGCCTGAGGGAGGATGGCGTGGACTGGGGTTGGCCCCATGTCTTTTCCTGACGACTACTATACTTGCTGCTAGAAAGAGATAATCAGATTGTGTTCAAGAAAGTTATGAGGTCAAAGCTATAGGTACAGGTCCAGAAGGGGTCATGAGGGTAAAGGGACCTAAGGAGCCAATGTGGTGGCCAACAAGGAGTAGGGGGCACAAGCATGCAGTGGTGTGTGTCAGGGGTACCAGCAGCGGGTGTGTGTGACATCTTAATCCCCCAGCAAGTCAGAACCTCTTAAAGGGCCTCAGGCAGAATGAGCAGTCTGTGGGATCTGGTTATCAGCATCCAGAGGATCTCAGAATGAGTTCTTGCTCAGCCACCACATGAGACATTCTGGCTCTATTCTCCACTTTACTTTTTAAAGCCTGTTGAGGCCAATGCAACGTGGCCATCCTGAGCAGGGTATTTCACAAGTGCCTTCTGCTGAGCTCGACTGGGGCAACTGGGAACCTCATAGGGAGTCATGGAAATAATTCAAAAAGAAGGAATACAGACATAGATTGCTAAGCAGAGCCAACAGCTGAAAATCCCTAACAGATTTTCAGCACAGCCTGCGGGCAATATGAGATCTGGGCCATGACCCATGAAATGGAGCTACAGAGAGAACATCTCTGCAGATAGAAGCCATGGTGGACACTCAGGACAACCCAGCACAGGGAAAGAGGCAACCTAGTGTAGCAGTCAAGGACAAGGGCTTGTGGGTGAGGCGACCCAAGATCGTTCCACCACAAACTGGACCAAGTTACTTAACCTCCTTCGGGTTTCCTGTTTTTAAAAGTCAATGGACATGCACAAAAAATTGTCTGAAAGGGCACTTGTTTTAGGAGAAGACTGCACAGATAGGTACTAGGATGGGAGGATACTTTTTACTTCATGTCTTTATCCATTTTCATTTTTGAACCATGTGGATGTATGTCTTATTAAAAAGAACAAATTACAAAGACAGCGACAAGTGATGATAGTTTATACCTTACAGGATTACACAGGCCTGATAGATGGTAATTACTTACATAATTGCAGTTTTTATTATTCATATTAATTTGGGGATGCTGGTTGGGTCATCTGTCAAGTTTTTTTTTAAACCTTAAATACCCAGCAGTCTCTTATCACATACCCAGATTGCTCTCTACATGCACCAGCCTTCCATTATGTTTATAATCAATGGTCTAAATTCAGCCCCTTAAAAGCAGCCTTATAAGTGGGTAAAATGAATTAAACGAGTACCACTTATAACTTGACTGTAATATTTTTTTTTCACTTTTCATATATTTTAGAGAATTGCATTGTTGACAATGGCACCTGGCGTTATATTATGGACACCTATGTACCTTTCATCTATAGTCACCAGTTGTTAACATTTTGGTCACATTTGCGTTCTTTCTCTCTTTCAAACCAAATTACCAAAGGCCAAATTACCACAATTTACCGGCAGCCCCTGCTAGGGTCTCTTAGCATAAATAATCCCTGGAAATCCATATCTGAGCTCATCACAGAAAAGTGGCTTTTTCATAGCCCAGATTACAGTTCAATTTCACACACACACACACGCACAAACACAACAGATTCATATAGACACACACACACACACATATATATATAGGTGTTTTTTTTTGACTATTTGAAAATTGTAGATAGGACACTTCTATCTCTAAATATTTCAGCATGTATCGTCTGAGAACAAGGACATTCCCCTACATAACCACAGTACAATGATCAAACTCAGGAAGTTTACCCATTATGAAAGATGATTAATGTACAATCCACATGCAAATATCCCCAGGTGTCCTAGTAAATGTTCTTTCCAGGTGTTTACTTTTGGATCCAGAGTCCTTTTGAGGCTCTTCCAGCGCACTTGGTTGTCTCCTTTGGTCTAGAACATTTAAGTAGGCTTATTTTGCCTTTCATGACACTGCCATTTTTGAAGAGCCTACGTCAGGTTCTGCCCTACCCTTCCTGCCCCAATGTCCTCCAATTTGTATCTGATTGTTTTCTGGTAATTAGACTCAGGTTAAACATCTTTGGCAGGAATACTGCAATAGGTGATGTTCCAATGCTGCCTTTTATAATATTTTTATCTTTCTTTTTTAAATGTGTGAAGCCAGAAGTCCTTTGAAAATTCTAATATTCTTATTTTCAAATATCCAGCAGGTCAATTGTTGATAAGTGACTCTTGTCATCAAGTCATGATGGAGGCTGTGGGCTATTTGTACAGGTCACTCGATTTAAGGGCAACCTACCTGAAATCTTCTCATTCATTGATCCATGGAATCCTGCAGTAAGTTTCTGTTTTATGTCTCAAAAATATATATATATATGCTGCAGGCTATTCATGTTATATAAATGACCTCTTGGCAACTTTTGATCTTTTTCAGCCTCCTAAGGGAAATTGAGCGGATCTGGGGTAGGAGATGTTGGCCTCAATTCATGAACCAGCAATATTCTGAGGGTCTTAGGAATGGTGCCTCATTATGGGAGCACTTACTTAAATTAAACTACCATAGCGCTCAGAATTCTAACACAGTGAGCTCTGCAATGTGCACAGATGCAGATAAGCTGCAGGGAGCTAAAAGGCCCTTCATACAATTTCAGATAAATCAAAATGTGCGTCTGGAAGAGGGAAAAAGGTCTTGAGACCCATTATTTCCATTTTTGCTGAGGAAAAGACCCGACAGAAGAGACAAAGTAATGTTAAAATACGGAATAACCCAGAAAAAGAAGCAACAAAGAAAAAGAAAGATTATTCCTCTTAGATTTTATCTTTGGGTAAAACGGACGGCATAGTAAAGCTTTCATGGCAAAGGATTTTGTCAGCTAAAAGTGGAAGTGAAAAAGGCCAAATTACCACAATTTACCAGCATCTCCTGCTAGAGTCTCTTAGCACAAATAACCCCGGGAATCTGTATCTGAGATCATCGCAGAAAAGTGGCTTTTTCATAGCCTAGATTACAGTTCAATTTCTCAGAAGTGTTTTTCTCAGAGAAGATCTCAGTTTGAAACAAAACTGATGAAGACCTCAAATGATACTAAGAAAGAATAAAAATTATCATGGGTTCTTTCGTGTCTGTAATTTTTTTCTACTTGTCTTTATTTAGAACTCTGATGAGATATTTTCTTGTAAAACTCTTAGGAGTGGTGATGATCAAGTTCTGGGGATTTTATTTTTTTAGCCCCTTAAAATATTGTAACAGATTGTAGCTAAAAAGAACAATTTTTAAGTGATTCACATTTCTATGGTAGGTAGAAAAATGCTGATCTCACAGGGTTCCATATCTAAAAGTACACTGAACCAATGTTATTAAAGTTCTAATCGTGTTATTTTATATTGCTATTGTTTATCTATGAACTTATGAATTAATGCTCATATAAACAAAATTTGCATTTGCTATCATCAAATCTTTTTTAGGTAGCATGAATAAGAAAAGATATAAATTGGAATAAACTAAAACCATAAAGTAATTTTAAAGTATTAGAGTCCATGGATTTGATATCAGTTGTAAACAGTTTAATTGCCTTTCATTTTGTCAGTGATCTGTAAGATATTACCTATTCACTGTTAAGGATTACTTCTTGGCTTCCTTCTTCCTCATCGCCCAACCAAATCCTACCTACTACATTAGGAATCCAAATGGAAAAATGGGCTCAGCTGTGTGACTTTAAGACTGCTATTTTATTTCTCTTAGTCTTAGTTTCATTATTTGTAAAATGGGAGAAACTATGGTGCCTACTTTTCAGGATTACTGAGAGGATTGCCTGAGAAAACGCACACAGCAAGCTTTCAATAAATAGTAGCTGTTGTCTGTCATGGTCAAATCCCGAGGCCACCTTTCCCCTTGAAAACATCTCCGGACCCCTCCAGCCCACAGCTTAAGCATACACTAATGCTTTGGCTGATTAGTCTTAAATCGTGCTCCACTTATTTCACACATGGCAGCGTAGTTTCCCAGGCAGAGTGTCAGCCTTGAGGGTTATTCTCTTCAGTCCGGCCTCTGCTCAACCCTGACCACTGGGTAGCTTGGCAAGTCCTTGCGGTGCACTGGCAAAGGTTCTGGGTGGGCCGCATCAGACCTTTCCTGCTGGAGCTAAGTCTGACTCAGTCCACACAGAAATGTCGCGTGGTGACGTTTACTGTTTATTTGGCTTTGGTGGGACCACAATGCACCGCACCGGTGCAGCCTCGCAGGTCTGAAAGAAGACAGGTGCACTATGGGCAGGAGCAGGCGGAGTGCTGTCCCCAGAGACCTCCCTCTCGAGGCAGAAATCTCGGGAGGGCACTGGCCTTCCAGGCTGTGCAATGGGGGTGCCCTTCAGGCATATCAGCCCACGTGTGGACGCCGGGTCCAGCTGCCCACTCACCGGTGGGACTAGAAGGATCCAAGATAGGGGCGGCGTGGGGCGGGGGACGTCCTAGACCCGCCCCCGCGATCCAGGGGAGGTCCAGACGTCAGAGGCCATTAGTGTGGAGAGGTCAATTCCTGGAGGTGGGGCCAGAAGCACACTGTCCGTGCAGCCAGAGTTGGGGGGCAGTCACAGGCCGCCGGAGGAATGTGCTGTGGAGCTCGGCGGGCGGCGCCGGAGTCGCGTCTCGTGGACCAGGGCCCGCGACGAGTCATTTCATTCCATGAGGCGTTCGCTTTCGCACAGTCACACGGTCAAGAAGTGGTCGCTGC